ACTTTTTTTCTTAGTTTTTTACTCCTCTACACGCTCCCGAAGTTTTGCCATTTAATTTGGAAACACCCTGTATACTCTGAAATAAAATTAAAAAAAAATTAATTTATAAATATGTGTAATGATTTATTTGTTTCACGCTGTTCCACGTGTATTCACGCCGTAAATAGAAGAGAGAAAGCGGGGAATAAAAGATTTAATTTATATTTAAATAATGAATCTTGATGATATAGTACTAAATGTGCCAATTATAAATGCATTACAAAATGCAGAAATAGCAGAACAACGAAGGAGAATTTTTCATATTAGGGACGATCCCTTTGAATTACCTAATGAACAATTTATTACATTGTTTCGTTTAAGTAAAGCCGCAGCAAGATACCTTATTGAACTTGTTGAACCACATTTAACTCCTCAAACAAGAATATCCTCAATCGATCCCTAAGATAATTATATTCCAAAATTTGTAGCATACGTATATGATAAACATAAACAATAAACAATTATTTTTCTATAGGTTATTACAGCATTGCGATTTTTTGCAAGTGGTTCTTATCAGATGGATACCGGAAAAAATATTTATATGGCTATCAGTCAGCCAACAGTTTCCCGTTGTATTCATGAAGTAATAGATGTAATAACGAAACAGGAAATCATGAACCATTGGATTAAATTTCCTTCTACTCTTGCAGAACTGAATGAATTGCGAATAGAGTAAAAATATAAATTTTCTGTAATATATAAAATATATAAAAATAAACATGAAATGTGTGATATATAATTATTTGTAAATTTTTATATAAGGTTTTTGAGCCAATCAATAATGCAAATTTAATAAATTTTCTTTTTTTTTTTAATTCTATTGAAGGAGATATTAAAATAAACTAGTGAAATTGTTGAATTTAAATCATTTAGTTTAACAATCCGCGCGTATTTCCATTATATGATTTACCGACCGGCGCCACGTTCTCTTCTGGTCGCTGAGTCTATGGCTGAGTTTGCCATCTATATATCTTTTGTCTTTTCCTTCTTCTTCCTGTTCGCGATATATCTCTCGCCCGGCACCTTTTGTAGTATGATACGACTATGTATATATTTCACTCTGTGTGTTATAATTAAAGCTGTAAAACTATTGATAAACGACTTGCTTCGTCAATTTATACCCAACAGAAATAATAAAATCTTTGTTTAGTGGAATTCAGCACAACACTAAAAAAATGTTTGCACTGTCTTTTCGTTTTAGTTTTATTGATCACAAATACACAGTTTCGTTTTATTACAGCGCATTAGTCACTGCACGATTGTTTCGATACACAATTTAACGACGACAACGCTCGTTTAAATAATATTTGTTAGTTAATTCGACGACGCCTGGGGGCTGTTGCCCTGAATCGAATTGTACGGGACGTTTAGCGGGCTGTTGCCCTGATTATGTTGTATGGCTGCGTGACAACGCCTAGAGGTAATACCCTGAGTCACGTGCGGTCCGGACACTTACAATTTTATTTCGGAAATTCGGACGATGTGTCCTCTCGAGATTTGCTGCCGCGACTGGTTGTGCCCGGCTCCCTACTTACCGGCCCTCGCGATCGCGACCCCCGAATTGTCTTAGTCAGCCTTCCGATTGGCCATCGATGAAAGAAACCATTGATCCACGACGGTGACACAGCGATTAGCGCGGTACCCCTTTCAAGAATCACAAACGCCGAAGATCTTTTGTATTGCCGCGATCGTTATAAAAAACGGCCTTCATGAACACAGTCGCCCGACATATGTGTGTGCGCGCGTATGATACCATTCGTATACGAATTTCGTCGTGCACGACCTTTGATGTTTTGCAACGCAACATACTCCCCCCGTTGAGAGTGTAGCGATCAAGTGGCCTATTAGTTGCTATAATATCAATCGTTTCGCTTTGTATATGCTACGCATATTACATATTGTATGGTATGTGTAATATGATATGGTGTGTACAATATGATATGGTGTCTACGATCGTGGTAATCTAGTAGGCCCATCGCCTAAGTGTTGACGTTAGTCGGATGGTAGTGGGCACAACGATGCTGTGGATCTTCTTATTTCTCCAGACGCCGCACAGTGGGGCGATCCTATGTAA